AGAGATGAGATTTGTGGGGAACAGGTGATCTTGAGAAAGCAGGAACCAGAGGGTTAGGAGAGTTACCTTGGTCGACAGAAAGTTGGGTATGTTGTTATCTGGGTTATGTGGTAGAGCAGTCTGGAAGGAAGTGAGATGTGTCATAGGGCAGCTTGATCAGCTGTTAGATTGGCGTGATTATTGTCTTTAGACAATGGATGGGTCAGTCTGATGTGGCCATCTGAAAAGGAAGGAGCAGCCATCTGTGGGGGGAAAATGTGTAGACAGAAAAGAAGGAAGAGGACCCTCTTGTGTGTGAGAGGGTGGGGTAGGAGATTTGGGGATTTATAGAATGACTCTATGAACCCATGTCTGTGATGAATAATCAAGGACGACTGTGAACACATGGAAATGACACAGTCAGATCAGTGGAGTTGCAGTGTGTCCTGAGGTCAAGCTCATTGGGCAGGCATGGCAAAGGAAAGCAGTTCACCACATGGCAGCCAGGAAGTGACAAGGAGGGACAGGAGGAGACACAGCCAAGATGAACCATTCTATGACATGCTCAGAGTGACCCACTGTCTCTAAAAATACCCCACTTCCTAATAGACCTTTCAGAATGTTACTGTTCAATAAGTTAAACCACTCTAGTCAGAGCCTTTCCCAAGCAATCTCTGCAAAGAGACACAGAGAGGCCAAGTAACAAGGAGGGCTCTAGGAGAGAGACATAGATCTCTGTGGGAAGGGGAAATAGAATAGATTTGTGAGTGGATTTGAGGGCAGGTGGGGATGGGAACAGGGGGGAACACGTGGGAGAGAGGGGGGTGAAGGAGGGAGCACTAGGAGAGACGGCTGGAATAAGTACAATTTAAGAGACAGACTGGAAACTAGTGGAAACTTCCTGGAACCTATGAGGGTAACCCTAGAAAGGACTCCTAGTAATGGAGAACATGCAGCCTGAACCTGCCATCTTCTGTAACCAGGCAAGGCTCCCAGTGGAGGGACTGGGACAGCAATCCAGCCACAAACCTTTGACCCACAGCCTGTCCTGCTGGCAAGATGCACTGGACAATGGTGGCTCAGAGTTGGTGGGTGTGGCCAACAGGTGACTGGTCTAACTTGAGGCCCAAGCCACAAGAGGGAGCCCATGCCCAACACTGCCTGGATGGGCAGGAACTGGAGGCTAGAAGACTCACAGACCTAGGGTAGAACCAAACAGGACTGCCACAAAAAGAAAGTCAGTGACCTGATTCCTAATGACAGTCTGCTATACTCACAGGACCAGTGTCTACCCCCATTGTCATCAGAGAGGCTTTCCCAGCAGCTGATACGAGCAGATGCAGAGGCCCACACCCAAATATTAGGCAGAGCTCCTGGGACCCTCCAGAAGAAGGAGAGGAAGGATTGTAGGAACCAGAGGGGTCAAGGACACAGGAGAACACAGCCCACAGAATCAACTAACCAGGGCTCAAAGGGGCTCACAGAGCCTGCATGGGTCACTAAGGTCCTCAGTGGACATGCTATGGTTGTTTAGCTTGGTGTTTTTGTGGAGTCCTAATAGTGAGAGAGGGGGTGTCTTTGATTATTTTTTTCCTGCTTGTGGGACCCCTTCCCTCCTACTGGGTTGCTTACAGCCTTGATATGAGGGTTTGTGCCCAGTCTTACTGCATCTTGTTATGCCACGTTTGGTTGATATCACTGTGAGGCCTGCTCTTTCTGAAAGGGAAATGGAGGAGCAGTGGTTCTGAGGGAGAGGGAAATTGGGGGGAGGGGAGACTGGAAGAAGGGGAGCAAAGGCAGGATGCCATCAGGATGTATTGTATGAGAGAATAATGTTTTCAAAGAAAAAAATTAGATTTTTGAAGCTGTGTTAAAATACATATTGGCCCACCACTGTAAGCACTGTGCTGTGTGTGTGTGTGTGTGTGTGTGTGTGTGTGTGTGTGTGTGTGTGTGTGTGTGCCGCATTCCTACTGTGGGAGCAACATCTCCAGATCACCTGATCTGTGGACTGACACTGGACCCTTATATAATAACTTCTCTCCACAACCTCTGCAAACACCACTGCCTCCTCCCCTGCAGGATCTGACCTCCCCATAGGACTCTCGAAGCTGATGTCCCCAGGCTTCATCATGTGGGACGGGGGGTGTCAGAATTTGCTGCCATTTAATGCTGAGAGATTTTCCATTCGACACACTGTCACATTCTCAGGTCTGTTCATCTCCTGATGAACATCTAGGCTGTGCCTTTGACTGGGATCAATCAAGTCGCTATGGATGTGGGAGAACAGACATCCGTCCATGTCTCTGTTTTCCTTGTTGCTTCTGTGCATTGACTCAGAAGTAGACTGGCTAGATGATGTGGTTCTGTATATCTGGGGTGATCCACCACACTGGTTGCAGTGGATTTGAGATTTTCCTATGACATGACAGTGACACCTGCCAACTCTCCTATGTCTTCTAACTCAGGGGTACAGGGGGGTAGACTGGACGGTACCTTTAAAACTTGCTGCAGAGCTGCCTGGTGATGTGACTTTCATAACCAGTCCCCTCTCCCACTCAGGAAACTACTGAACATGAGGCCACATCCTCTTCCTGACTGAACTTTGTAGGCAACTTTCACAATAATCAGCAGAAAGTCTTCGGTGTTATTTCCTGCTTTTCTGGGTCAATTCTGGGTCGTCTCACTGTGGTTTAATCCAAAAGCTACTGTCTTCACTCAGCAAATGTGCCTGGTGCTCCTGATGATCCCACATGCAGCAAACTGAGGGTAAAGTCATCTGCACTTCGACACAAAATATTACATTCATGAGTTAGACTCTGTTCTCCTTATGTGCAGTTCTACCACCGGACATAGAACAAAGACTGAGAATTACATTACAAGTTGTAATATATATATATTACACTTGGAACCTTCCTGAAATGACACTTGTTATCTAGGGCCAGGTTTTTCCCTAATGATCAAGACAAGCCATATGTTCTTGGGGTACAAGTGGCCAGACTATAATCATCTGGGAGCAGTGGCTGTCCATCACTCCCAGGAAGGAACCCAGGGCCATCAACATAGTGTGCTTACTCTCTTCCAGAGCTTTACATCATGGGAGGTTTGTCTATGCTGACCAGAAAGATGATTTCAGAAGCCTCCAATCACATGCTCATTAGGAAGATTCCAGCCCCTATAGAAAGGAGACCAACAGAGAGGTGAATGCTGTTCTGGGGCCATACCTCTTCTCCAGTATATTGACTGTGATAGGATGACCATGGTGGCAGACATCTTGGCTTCTGACCCCTCCGCTAGGAGATGCTGGTGTCCACACAGCTCCCCTTAGAGTTCTTTCAGCTGATGTTTCCCATTGCATCAAGGTCACATTCCATTGGGTTAAAATTACCTCTAGATCATCCTCAACTCTTAAGTGACAGCCATCCTGAGTGACATTTCTTGGCATGTCACTCACTGGTCAACTGAGCTGTTCTTTCAGTAGATCTTCAGGATGTTCAGGTGGGACAGACCCAAGGTTAGAGATCCCTATTCCACTCCCTCATCTGCTAGCCAGCAACTCATGTGGATCCTTTATAGGTCCTACATCTCACTGATGTCCTCTGACTGTCTAGCTAAAAACATGCGAATAAAAGGGGACAGATTTCAATGCAAGACAACTTGACAAAAGAAACAAGGTCAATAATCACTGTAAACCAGAAAACATGGCCACATGTATTCCTAGGGGAGAGCCAATAGCCTCTAAGAGGAGAGCCAAGATGTTCTCTTTGTATTTAATATTTTCACCTCATAGGTCATCTTTCTCTACAGATCATACTGTGGATATGCACAGTAGTAAAAGCATAGTGACTGTCCATGTATATGTGATGAACTTTCCTTTTTCCCATCTGAACCTGGGTCAGGTCAATCAGCTTTGCTCCCTGGGCTGAGGGACCTGGCTTGGGCTAAAAACATTACAGTTAAAGTAACTACTGCAGTCCCATGTAGCTGGTTCATCCTTCTTCTTATGACCATCATGGATGAGGACCTGTGTGTTGAAATCAGGCAAATGGGTAGCAGGATTGAAGGCAGTGGGCTTCTCAAACTGGACTGGAAGGTGGTCCAGGGTTAGGCCCGGTACTGGGTTAAATGAGCATTAGACAGCCTGCATTTTTGTGTTCCTCAGAGATGAGCCTCAACAGTGTGGGATGCTGTGATTGTAAAATCCTGACCCAGAGTTAACTTGATTTGTTTTGTTGTTGTTGTTGTTGTTGTTGTTTTTCATTAGATTAATAGTAGCCACCACATCTTTTAGACAGGTGCCCACTATGCCCATCCTGTGGCTACAGAGTCAAATTGTTTAGAAAGGTATGTCACAGATGGCCCCAAAGTTTGAGTTAGAAAGCCTTTTGTATGTCTTTTATTTTGTGGACAAACAGATGGAAAGGTTTGGAGACTTCCAGAAGTGCTAGGGTTGGAACTGAAGTCAGAGCTGTTTTTAGAGCTTCAAATGCCTCTTGGTCAGTGTCTGTCCAGATTAGGGGGTCAGTGACCTCCCCACCTTGGGCTGAGGCCTTGCTATTTCCACGGACTCAGCTAGTAGCCAAGGAAGGTAGATTGTAATAAACAAAGTTGGTCTTTCTTAGCTGACATACTGTAGCCCAAGGTCTGTAACTCTTGAAGACGTCCCTCAGTGGCCCTTTTGTAATTTATTTAGTTTTAGGGGCCAGGAGGAGGTATGGTAAGAGTATATATTGCAAGCGTGTGGTCCCAGGGAAACCTCTGATGGAGGTGGGATTCAAACAACACTGTAACCTCTCTCTGGGTCTGTCCTTGTAAAAGTAAAAATATGTTTTTTCACAGGCAGGAGAGGGGAATTCCAGGCTGGCTGGCAGGACTCCAGGATGCCTGTTTCTCTAAACTTGGCAATGTGGACCACACTTTTCCTTTGTGTTTCCAGGGTCACTGGGTGTTGTTTAATCTGCATGAAAGTAGATGAACTGATTAGTTGAACAATTGTAGGAAGTTGGTGTTGGGCCAGTCCTGAGGGGTTGTTTTTTGCCAATGTCCCCAGGAATTGTAAATCTGAAATATATAGTCCACCTTTATCCTTTGATTGGGAGCAGGACAACAGAACTTTCAACTAGGAGATGTTCTTCTGACACAGGTAAGACACCAACATTTTGCTGGGTATGTGTAAGTCTAACTGTCTCATCATCAGAGAAGGTGACGGTGGCTTTCAGTTTTTGCAAAAGTTCTCATCTCTCAATCTGTTCTCTGTTGCTAAACGAAATTGAGGTACTCCAGCAACTGGAACCTACTTATATCTTTAAATTTGTCTTATTTTTATAACTATTTTCTAATATCTGGGGCCAACTGAGTGACAGGGGAAATCTTTTCAGCAGTGGTCCTTAATCCTTCTAAAATGGACCCAGAAAACATTATTTAAATTTGTCATTGGTCAGTGTTGGACAGAAGGGAAAATCTGTTCTGTCGAGGCAGAATTGTCCTGCACGAACCCCCACCCTACAAGGTCTGGGGCAGGGAGACTACTTTTTCCAGAGAAGATAGGTTTTGAGTTTTCCAATTATACAGATTATTTGTTGGAAAGGACACATAAATCATGAAAGACGAAGTTGTGGAACTTCCTCTTTAGCCAAAGTAATCTTTTCCCATCCCCAGGGGCTGCTGAGAGGAAGAGGGGCTGATAGAGGGAGTGTGTGGCTTGAGAAACTATTTCTCCCGCTTGTGTGCACTCTGCAGATATCAGGGCCCTCCTTGCACAAGATCCCGGCCCCTCCCCTCCTCTCCATGGGGACTGGGGCTCACTCCCACTCTGAGACCCCCAGGTGTCACTAGGGATCTCCAGAAATGTTGTGGGGTGTCCACCAGAGAAGACTATTCAGACTCGGCTTTAAGCCAATAGAAAGTGTTTGTTAGCCCGCCAGCTACTACACCAGTGTTCAGAATCCCAGTGTAACCCTGAGTCTTTCTCAGGTTGAGCTTTAAGCACAAAACCCATATCCTGGGTTGACATTCTTCAGGTAACAAGAACAGTTAGCCAGGAGCAGATCTTCAGATGCTAAAATCAATGTTAGCACATCCAGAGACTTCTGGGAGAAACATGGACTTTGTATTCATTTTGTCAGGTGGTGCTGCCTATTAGCTGAGTTTTATGGCCTGAATGCTACGTCCATCATGGAGTCAGTTGTGCTAATGTCTCGAGACCTACTAAGGTTTGGGGTCTGTTGCACTGAGAGGATGTGATACTTAGTGATTCCGAGTAGAGGCTCCTGGAAGGAGAACCCAGGAAAGCAGATGTCCATGTGCCCTGCACCTCATCCTCGGCAGCACCACAGTGGGCATCAACAGGACCAAGGAGTTGGGGGTGGGGGGCATGCTGAGGCTGCAGGTGGGGAAGGGAGCCATGAACAGAACCCAGGAGGGAGTGATCTGTGGAGAGTCCCCTAGTCTGTGGCAGCAGGTCTTTTCCCTCCAGACCACGGAGACCCCCGTGTGAATTGGGTTCAGTCAGGAAGAACCTAGAATGACAGGCCAAAGGTCACTCCTTTGAGTGGGGTCAGCAGGGAGCTTGGGATGAGGGGTAGCATCCAGCAAGCAACAAGTTTCCCGTGTAGTGTTAGTGGAGAGTTCCTTGTAAGTGGTGCTTTCTCTTTCTCTTTCACTTTCTGGTTTGGGTATATCAGCAGGACACTGTGTTCTGTTATCACTTAGATGCACAGCTGGTCACGGTGTGCACACAGCTAAGGACTGTCCAGTCCCATCCAAACTCTGCCCGTTGAAGATTCCTGGTAAGTTGGGGGATCTCTAAGCTCTCACACCTGCATACCCACA